ACCTACGAATTCATTGAATAATTTGAAATGGAGTTCTGTCTCGAAATTTGATTGCAATGAAAGCTTACTTTTTGATTTTGTATAATATACATTCAATTTTACAATCAACTATAAAGTTAAAATTTTATTAAAAAGCTGACTTCCGGTTTAAATAATTATACGGGAAAGATTCGTCGCGTTCGGTCTACTGTCGCGATATGTTTATTTCCGTTTAATCTGTGCTTTTTGCCGATAATTACTCTATTATCTATCACAGCACACACGACAGTAGCATCCGATCACGTTCTACGCCATTGAAAAAGTGCCTTTGGCACGGACAGGTTGATTTATTCGGCTGGTTGTGCGCGAGATTCGTGAATAGGGACCGGAACGAATTCGCGTGGCCACCATCTTTGAGTGCCATCTGCCCACTCGCATTTATTTGCATTTCGCTCATTTACATATAGACTTGATTTCGAAAATTTCGAGAAAGAGAGTGAATTACTTGCCAAAGACCGTCGCGAAGGAACGGAAAAGTAATGAATCTAAATTAATGTCCGGAGAAGCAAAAGATATTATTCTTACATGAAAAATTTCAATCGATTTCTTATTAAATATCTGTATTGTTTAAATATCTAGCGAGAAATAGAGGAAAATATATGTAGTTTCTCGAAAGATGCATCCAAGGTATAATTATCTCGAATTGAATTAAATTAATTGCATAATTAATTTAAGAACAGAAATGACAGAAGGCGCGGTCACAAAATTGTGTACGAAACAACACGCGCCACGTGCCACTTTTCTCCCTGATTGATGCCTCATTCGCCAGGTGCGAGATGGAAGAAAAGGAAGCGATGGAGATTATTAATTCCCTCTAGCACTTTATTTCACCGCGTGGCCGTATGCCAAATGCGAATTCCGAATGGCGACCGAAGCTTTTTCGTCTCCTCCGAAGTCTTTTCCAATCGAATTGGCGTCGCGCGCGACGTTCGCCAAATCGAGCTCTTGTGAGAGCAGTCAAATGCAAATCATTGCATCCTGAAAGCATCTGTTTGAATTAATTTAAAAAGGAGGTCGACGGTAATTACGGAGAAAAAAATATATTTTTATCTCTCTTTTTTTTTAATCAGAAATTATTTACACTGGTCTCACGCAATATTTTTGCTTCATCATTTCCATTGCATTTTTCTATAGGTATATATTTTTTCTTATAATATTTTAAAAATATTTTTAGCTCTTTCTTTGAGGTAATAATTAATTTAATAATAAT